TTCTGACCAGGGCCTGAACAGGAAACTCTATTTTGCTTTCATTGCAGCTGGGTCTTTCTTGGAAAGTTATCAGGCTTGCTGCTGTTGATTAGAGAAGTTAATTGTTATGACAATTTAAGGAACAGAGACTGAAGGTGCATCTCTTACTGGGAAGAAGCTCTAAAAACGGCAAGATCTGAAAGGCTGTGCAATATTGTACTTGCCTGGCATGTATTGGCCTCTCATGTCAATTGTCTCCTTATCCATTATCTAAGATCTTGGGAACCTTTTCAGGGAGGAGGGAGGAAAGGACGTCGAGCTGGTCCTGAGAGCTCCAGCAGCTTGCAAGGAGGAGGCCCTACCTCCTTCTACTCCAATAGCTTAGGCAGAGTCTTGGGAATTAAAATGTACCTCTGAATCCCCTTCTAGTTGCTCCTCTCAGAGTCCTTGAGCCATTTCCCAAGTGTTTCGGGGACTTGGGTTAACTTGGGTCTTGCTAAGCCATTAGCCATTTTTAAAAATTTAGTGAGCATGGAGAATTCTTGGGATGATGTTCCAAAAGCAAAGTATCATAGAACCAGACTGTTACACTCTTCATGGTCAGAAATGCCATCCTAAGCCAAATCCAGTATGGTCATTTCTCCCTGATAATAATACTGAAAATGATGAAGTTAGGAGTCTTGAAGGACATGCAGATGCTACTTGGAATTTAGGAACATAAAGTGTTAGGGCATAAGGAAGAGACTGAGATTGCAAAAAGGAAAGCTATCTGAGAAACAAAGTAGTCTAGTTATAGTCCAGACCCAACAGCTCAAAAGGATAAAATGCTAACCACTCAAACCCCACGTTTGTCTTAATATTGAAAACTTCATCAAACCTATAACCTACGTTAGATAAGGCAAATCACACTCACAGTTCACTGCTCTGCATAAGTTCGATCAGATCCATAAAAAGCACATCACGGTTCCTTTCACAAAAGCCATCCATGTCATAGGATACCTGGTCAAGAACAGAAAGAAATCTAATTTTTTTTTTTCCTTTTTGTCTTTTTTCGTGTCCGGCAACGGATCGCAACCCTCA